GTTTCATCTAGGTTTCAAAAACAAAAATCCTCGGCCGTAAAGGGATAAGACACTGGGGCTGGGCAAAATACGATAAAATATTATTCACGAAGTACTTTTACTTTTATTTTATCACTTTCCATATACTACATCTCGATATTTCATTACCAAACCAAACCAATGTTAGGTTATCAAAATTATATATACTTTATAAATTAGTTAACTTACAGCATTTTTATCTCTCATGTGCTCTTTTAGGCAGCCCTGGAATATGAGTGTGATCTGTCTCCGATGATTCATTTTCCTTAGAGGGCTTTTACAACAATTAACCACTCGCTTTGAATACAATAAAAGAGATAGACAATAATAAATTATTAATTAAATAAATAAAGTTAGTAGCGGAAAACTTTCTCTTTATAAAATTTGTGTATCACACATACTTACTACAGTATTTAGTTTCAAACACTGTAGTAACTCGAAATTTTGAAATTAAGAAAACACAATTTGAAAATTAAAAAAAAAACTAAATGGATCTTATAGCGAATAGTGTGATTATTTTACGACGAATGTACGTAATCAAATTTGAAAAAAAAACCTAACATGTCACCAAGTATAGCCTATATACCTACGTTATCTGTTTGTACTCTGGACATAAGTTCCCGGGTTTGATTCCCGGTAGGGCCATTCGGGAAATGGACTTCCCTAAATTAGTTCTAGTCTAGGTGTTCCAAGTAGTACGTCGTAATGAACTCTGTAGCTTTGATATTCATAGTACAGGGAATTCCCTGTCTGAGACTAGAGTGATAGGTGTAATTGTCTTATAAAAAAAAAAAGAAAAAAAAAGGTGTAATTGTCTTGGCCATTATTAAAAAGAAATATTATATACATTATTATTATAATGTTAGTCAAGGCAAATTATACTTCCATGTGTATTAATTTTACATTGAAGTATAATACCGCAATAAAATAAGTAATGGTCATTTGTTGATTCGGAAAACAGGTGCCTAGGATATAATTGTATTATTTTAATTATTTATTAAGATAGTCAGTAACAAGGTCAGGGTGATTTTTCAATTCTAAACATTTTCGAAACTAATTTCTGGGGGCCTACTACGAGTTCAGCGATCATGTTTAAGCTCGTAAATTGGATAGCCTGTCAAATTCGTACTATAACCTCATAAAAACAATTCACTATCCATGCAGTTTACGTTCTCTAACCGAAATCCGTTCACCTTTCCTTTCATAATAAAATCGTATTATGACGTGTCATTTGCCATGTACATGACGGTCTCATCTGTCAAAACAAGCAATTCAAAGAAAGTTACTCCGTGACTAGCTTTTTTTAAATGTCTAACTTTTGTTTAATTTTCAAGAGGTGTCGTTTAAGTTTTATTATATTTTCGTTTGTTATCTCTTCAGGCTATATAGCCAATTGTCAATAAATAATATTTTTAACTATTGAACTTTTTTGAATAAAACTATTCAGTTCGAGTTTCCCACCCACAGAGTTGATAAATTATTAGCATGAATGAAATTAAAAATTTTATTGACGAAAATCGTTAAATAACTTCTAAACAGCGCTATATTTAACGCATTAATCAATGAAAATACAAGATACGTTCCAATTATATTATCAAGTTACAAACTAACCTTGTTCATTTCAACGATAATGACTAGACATGACATGTAATTTTGTCTTACAACAAATAGTAAAGTTGCCGATATTACAATATAACGTTATAAGTATAACCAATAATAAAATTATAAAAAAAAATATAATTATTTACATTTTAAATACAATCGGTTAATAGTGCTTGAACGCTTCCAGGGTAGTACATCTGTCTATTTCTTTCATTGAATATGATTTAGTATGTAGTTCCATCTCGCTCTTGTTAGATGTCAAATAGCCAGCCAAAGACAATAATTAATGTTTAAAAAGTAAAACTCATCATCTTGCCTGCCACTCCCGTTCCACTTTGTGTACGTCATGATACGAATTTAAGCAATTCAGTTTTACCACGTCAAGGGAATTGCATGGAACTTGACTGGTTGCTTATAAAATCATAGTAGGCCCCCTGAACTTCTGAAGTTGAAAAATAGAGAGTGGGTTGAAATGTATAATAATTGCTTTAAACATCAGATTGACCTTCGAGTTCGACGACGGATTTAGAACTTGTTTAGTTTAAAAATGGTACATACTTTGTCCCGAAGAATATCACAAGTCATGGCACCGCTGCAATTATCGACCTGAATTCAAACAACATTAAAACAATAATCATTGCGTAACAAACAACGACGTTCAAGTTTTTTTGAGAAATTTTAAACGAATGTACAACATTATTTTTTAAGCTATACTACATACTCTACTTATGGATAACAAACACGTTTTATTTTAACGCGGGTAACCCTCAAACGTAAAAACCAGATATTTCTGACTCGAGTCACATTGTTTGCAACGCGATAGTCTATTATGTAGTTAGTAGATATGTAGTGTGTTTATATAGATTATTAAGATTTTTTTTCAAATGCGCTAGCACCCCTGAACAACATCAACGCACGCAATTGCTTCCAAGGCCCCCAGGACTCTTCAGCACACACTGGGGACGGTGGTAGGAACCACTTTGGGAAACATGGTGTAATTTGAAGGCACTCGATCAGAAATAATAAAAAACATTTAAAAAAAATGTTACCTGAAAGCCTGTCACAATTATAAAGGTAATTAATTGTGAATATCTAATAAAAATCATTGGCGATAGACAACCACATGAAATCTTTTTAAAACCAAATAAACTATCAGCAACGTGTACCAAAAAAATCATAAAATAAAAACAGATTGGAGATAATCGATTACCTACTTGCTTCCATGAAATTGTGTCCATTTCGAGTCATTCTGCTGGAAAATTTTAATGTTCATGTTTTTATGATATCAAGGGACGACCAAGTCGTGCACTTGATGGTATGCAACACGCCAGTCTATGGCATTTTTTAGCGTCTTTCATACGGACGCTAAAGATCAACCTTATCATAATATAATTTCGTTGTGTAGGTAATAATGTCACCTAATTTTAAGACAGCATGCAATTGCATTGGCTCAATAAAGAATATTATTAAATTGCAGTTCCACTGAATTTTAAATGCGACCGTCGTCCTGAAACATAAGTAGACATGTCCCAGGTGTCTGTAGTTTAACCAGCACCCTTATCCTTCAATGCTGAGAGTCTACTCTCGTTCTATTGTCAAATAAGTAATACTCAAGCAAATGAAATGACAATATTACGTATAAAACTTTATTTGCATCATGCGTTTTTTAATTTGGTCGAATTTTACTGCTGCCGGACGACGAACGAGAATAGACCTCTTGAAAACCAGTATTGCTCACATTATTGCTTGGCGGCTGAAATAGGTAATGTGGCAATATTTCCCTGGACGAACCTTTTCACAATGAGTTTTGCTGATGCTTAAAACGCAATAATATTATGAACTTATAAAGCAGGCATTCTAAGAACATATCTACCGCTGTATTCAATAGATATAGGGGTTGTCAACGAGAACAAACCAAATTTCCCGATCGCATAATTTCACAAAATTCAGCCGTTAAGAAAGTGGCCAGCTCGATCATATGATTTAACACCGCTGATTATTTTTTATGGGGTTATGTTATACTCTTAAAGAATCGATAGCAGCCTTAAAACTTAAAATTCGTCAAGTGATTAACGAAATAGACCCACCAACCACCATTTTGTCAAAAAGTGATTAAAAACTTTGATGAAAGAATCGATATCTGTAACTGTGGTCGTGGTGGACATTTATCAGATAACATTTCTCATTCATGATTGCTAAACCTAACTTTTTTTAATACAATAAAAATGAGTCATTATCATCTAAATTTATTGTTTTATTTTGATTTACTTACAAAACAAAGATCTTGTTGAAAAACCATTTACTTAATTGTGTACCAATGTTTTTTTTTTATATCAACTAAATTAGATGGAACACGTATTAGTATACGATGTTTTCAAAAGGTTTTAAATTAGTTTGTAAAAAAAAGTAATTCTGAAATAAAGCCAGTGTCCATACCGCTCGACCCAAGCGAAATGAACCGTATTAGTACGGGAAAAGTTTTAATTTGAGCTGAGTTCGAGACTCTTAAGAATCGAGTAGAAACCCCTTGTCTGTCGTCATCACGTACAAATTGAAAATAACTGTGTGGTTATACAATACTAAGCCTTTACTAATTTCACTGATTGGTGTATGCTTTGATGCGAAGTATCACGCCGAAGTCGCTTAACGGCTGGATGGAATTTAAAGACTATATTTTTTATATTACACACAACTATTTAACAAGGTACAATAATACGAAGGTGTATTTTTTTTTTTAATTATTATAAGTACTTTAATTTATTTTTTACTTATGGAGTTCAACTTCACGTACTTGCACAAAAATCAATATATTGACGGAGACCCTGACAGGAACCGTAGTCGTACCAATTTTGGCACTTCTGAAAAACACAGTGAAAAAAAAAGGTAATTATGCAAACATGTATTTACATGGTTTGACCTATCGTCTCTCAAGCAGAGGCCTTGGGTCCGAATCCGAATTCGCCGCTCTTAGGGTCATATTCCTGAACTCTACTCAATGCTCAAGTCAGGACTTGATCAGACTTGAGTATGATTTCAAGCACTGGAAATACGACCCTAACGGCAAGGACTTGAGTATGATTTCCAGTGCTTGAAATCATACACAAGTCCTGACTTGAGCATTGAGTAGAGTTCTGAAATACGACCCTTAGTTTCTCGGGCTTTATGCGAGAAATCGAAATTTAAAATTTACCATGAGGTTCGGAAAATGTGTGACGTTTTCACAACTTCACATTGACTTCACGTCATTTGTGAAGTTCCATATTCTACAGGATATATCACGGAGAGTGTGCTGTGGAATTGCACGAATTAATTGCCACCTACCCCTTTCCATCACCGGGGGACTATTATACGTATGCTTTTGTTCCACCCCTACGTTGTGGATATTCCAAGGATTCGCATGAAGAATTTCGCTTCCACATTTCAATGGCGAACGGTTATAGAGTGGGATTCTCTGCCTGCAGACTTGTTCCCTGAACGCCATAACTTTTGAACGCGAGCGTGAATAGGCGTTAATTAGATGTGCATGCTTCATCGTTGACCTCATGTTACTTACCATCAGGTGAGATAGAGGGGACATAAAGGTCAAATGCGCATTTATATTATGTTATGAAAATAAGAAGTCCCTAAATGTCGATTCCTTATTATATAATTGTCTTAATTAAATTTTTATTCAATTGATATTCAATTATTTTCTTTGAAATTACTCCACTAGTTTGTTATAATTATTAATACAAAGATGGAACACTCAGAAAAAATTCCTTCGATCCGGTCGGATTCGAACTGACGTCTTTTTGCATACCGTGGCAGACGCTATACCAACTAAGCCACGGAACGAACCAACGGACCTCACGAATTTTTCTATGTGCTTGCGTCGTGTCTTCGTATTTGGTTTTTCAACGATATAATTGTGTTTTTATGTAAGAAATAAGTTTAAACTACTATTAATTTCCGATATACGGTATACGACGTCCGACTTACCATTAACATAAAAGGAAACAAACATTTTTGTAATCTGTCTGCTTCACAAGAAGCGGTAAATCTTGATAAATTCGAAAAGATGCATCGTTGTTTAACGCGTTCAAATATCTCAGGTTGCTTATAAAATTGTTCACTATATTCTTGTAATAAACCTTGCTTATTTAAACTTCCATCTGTGTTTACATATCCTTTCCTTTGGCCATAACAGTTTTGGAATCCGCACTGGAAGACAATAGTTATTTGTTACGCAAGGCTACAAAGTTGTTATTTGACGCTTGTACAGAAACCTGAGCGAGCGAAGGAAGCTGAGATTCAAAAGTTAGATTCCTGAGCGTAGCGAGGGTTTCAAGCCACGAGACGCAAAACAACTTTGCTGCCGAGCGAAATACATAAATTTTCACCTCACTATAGCAAGAAATATGGTAGATGAAAGAAATATAGTTGAACCTTAGAATAATAACGCATAGAAACCTAGTCCGCACACGCTAAGTGAGGCAAATTGAAGCGCTCCCAATGGGCCTACACGAGCGGGTGGGCCGTCAGTGCTCAAGGTCAACTTGCACCGCGGATAGCTCAAGAATTTTAGCTAAAAATGACGAAATGTGCGGTAAACTATGAAGTAACGCGTTTCAACTTGTATTTTTATATAAATATTCACTAAAACCGAAAATTAACCTACTACTGAAACTAGCCTACATGACTTTGATTTTTGCCCCACTTGTGACAGTTCGTTTGATATGAAACTATCATTCTATGTAAGTCAATGTTCTATGCGTTATTATTCTAAGAGTTGAACTATAAAACACAAGTTTTTTTAATTAAAAAAGAAGTTTATCTTCGGATGCGTTCTGAATTTACACCACATCAATTTTTTTCTTGCTTGTACTTTTATTTTGTGTGAATAAGTGATTATTGAAATTATTTTAGTTCTTCGAATTAAAATAATTTAATAAACACAATTAGTTATCATTGTCAACGGATTAATTTTACATAAATAAGTAATGTACGACAAATCGCGTAGTTGAACGCGCCATTATCATTTTTTTCATCAAGTTAGGTGCACCACAATCCATCGTCAAGTTCGAATTTCCAAAACCTTTTCCACGCTAGCGTGTAAAAAATGCTTTTGCGCGTAGATTTCTAATGAGAAAGAAAACCTTTACGAGCTAGCGAGGTAAAAAAATATATCGTCCAATTTTCAGAAATGTTACAGTGGTGTTACAATATTTTAGCGGGTATCAGAAAATTGGTCGCAAACAAGGGCTATTTTATTCAAAATTTTTAATTTAGTTGTAAGATTCCATACGCCCTTACGCTAGTTACGGTTGTTGCGAAGAATAACACATCGATTACATATCGAGTTCTTAGGTTTTCGCAATTGTTATACATAGGAAATGAAACTATTTTTCCGGATTTAAATCGTTTCGGGCCCTTTACAGGTCCCATGGTCACGGTTGACTGTTGACACGGTCACCGTATGTAAAGGGCCCGAAACGTCTGTTTGTTTGAAAAAACAAATATACGCGATTTAAATCCGGAAAAATAGTTTCATTTCCTATGTCCTTACATCTTAAATTTCAGTTCACGGAAAAGACATTTTCTACTTAAAACAATATACCTACGTGTTGTTTTGTTACCGAATTATTGAAGTTTAAAGTGGCGTCTGTACAAAAAAATGAAAAGGACACCGGTTACATTATTTGGCTACAAAATGCATAGAGACGACAACTATATGACCAACAAAATCTTGTCAGTGGAAACTGGAAACTGAAATCGTTAAAGATGACCTGGCAGACCCCAGACCGCTTGGGATGTACAGTCCAAAGAAATATGAAGACTATGGTAGACCCTGAGTTTACGCAATGGTACCCAAAAGGCAGTCAAAGTGGAGACTGAATTGCAGCGAGTGATACTTTTTTGGTATCCATTCAAATTTTAACCTACGAAGAAAATTACTCGGCCGTTCTTTAACCGATTTGCATGAAATTTGAAATTTGCATAAAAATACAATTCCACAAGCTGTGAGGAATTTTGAATTTCGACTTGTGACTTGAGATAATTGAAAGAACCTGAATTCTACTAAGTGTTATTTTATCAATAGTAATTTTTTGGATGTTCATTGTTGTGAATATTCAATGCGTCAATTGCAGTGCCTTGACATTGCCTGCCTCCGTGGCCGAACGGTTACCATACCGGACTGCCACGCAGAGGTCCCCGGGTTCGATTCCCGGGCCGGGAGAAATATTTGTATGGCCTTTGGGTGTAATTTGTGGTTGTCTATGTGTGTGTCCATGGCACCAGCGACACAGGGTTTCCCTAGTGCGGGGCTATGTTGAGTGTGTGCGTTATTATTATTATTAAAGTACACCAAAAACTCACGAGAATAGCGAGTAGATAACAGCCATTATTGTTTACAATTTTTTTATACAAAAACCTGTCTCCTATTTTCCGAAGATGGATGTTGATGTTCTTCTTGTTCATGTGCCATCTTCTAATGAAGGTCGGCGATCATGATGGCAATGTGAACTTTGGACACTGCAGCTCTGACTAATGATCGGGTGCTCCTATTGAACCACTGGCGCAAATGTCTGGGCCACGATATTCTCCTTCTTCCTACACCTGTTTAATGTTAGGTAATCGTAACTATACTTTTTTGATTAGTGTACTTACTGAAGTTTGATCTCTCATATGAGCTTTCAAGCAGGCAGCGAAAAGGGGAGGAAATTGTCTTCGTTGGCTGTTTTGCTTCATGGGGTCTTTGCAACAGTTTGCCACTCGCTTTTGAACATAATAATACTATTAATTCTTGGCAATAACAAATTCTAGCTATTGTTAAATAAACTTATAGGTATTGCTACTGCGTCTTTAACACTGAGACATAAGTTGACAAGTCTCATGTGCCTCTAATTTCACCAGCACCCTTCAAAACCAGAACACAGTAATTATGACTTTACAGCTTGGCGGCAGAAATTGTTAAGGTGGCAGTACATCCTGACATGTACAAACGAACCCTTTCACAAACCGTTACTTAAATCTCTTCTTTTCTCTTAAATTGCCGTTGCGGCTTATAGCTCCAGTTTGACCAGTGACAGATTTTTTGACTGGTGAAAAAGGTCTATCTCTCAAGTGAGACGCAGCAATTGTAAAAGTAGATACATACCGGGTCTTGAAGAATCGCACAAGTAATGGAACTGCCACAGTCGTTGACCTGAATTCAGAAGACATTATTCGTATATAAGGTTATTTCTAAAATACTAACAATCTAGCAGATATATTCTTCTTCTTCAACTGCCTCTTCATTACAAAAGGTCAGCAGTTACTTTTCTATATCTTTCTTTATCCTGAACAATTCTTCCAGGGACTAGGTCCACTCCCTGATGTTACGAAGCCATGACATTTTAATTATTCCAACCTTCATCTTCCCAGCTACTTCGTCTATCATTATGGTGCGTAATAGATCCTGTTATGTCGCAGTATATGACCCAGATAAGCCACCTTCCGGTGCTTAACAGTGCGTACCAGCACCACCTTCTTCGCCATAGGTTTAATAAATAAGTTAGGAATATATTACAAACATCATAAACAACAACTTCAGTTCCATGGTTCCAAGACTTTTTTTTACATCTTTGTGATTTTTTTACTATAAATAAACTTTTAAGTTTTTGTTGTACTATCTTACACTTTTTGGATCTAGGAAATGAAACCATTTTTCGGCTCTAAATCGCGTTTTTTTTAAACAAATCAACATTTGCGACCCTTTACAGGTCCCATGTCCAAGACCCATGGGCACAGCTGACTGTCGCTCGGTGTGTCAGAACCTTAGAAAAATGTTAATACCAAAGAATCGATACTTTTTAGATCTCTTATTACTATCACATGACCCCACTCCGCTCCTGCATTTTGCATCGGATTGCTATTTACGCTACCGCACAGAGTTATCACGTTTAGAGCATTCTATTTAAATATTTTTATTTTTGATTATTAAAAGTAACGGAACAAAAGTTGTTGCAGCTTATGATGTTAGTAATTTAAGAGGTTGTTAATGTAAGAGGTTGTTAGTGTTTCAAATAACTCTGTACAGACAGCTAACGACATAATGTTGTGAAACATTTGAATAGCGCCAGAACAAAACTGATAAATCTCAATTTTACTATTTTTTTTATTATGGCGATACATTTTTTATCTATCTATAACTATAATCAATCAAATCCGTTCTAAATCGATAGATAAGTTTCAAAAATGTTCTTGAATTGATAAGCGAAGTTTATATTGAAACTTATCATGAGCTTTTCGGTGAAGGAAAACATTGGGTTGAATCCTGTACGTCGAAGAAGATACACAACCTTTGGAAAACGTGGGAAGTCCCCACACTACATCGTGGAATGGTTACCTATGATTGACGATTTCAGTGGGATGGTTACCTATCAGTAGTCTGAAATGACATTTTCCAGAAATAACATTTTGTCGAAATTTCATAACCTCGAAAGTATTTTTTTTTTATATAACATCAAGTGACGGGACGAACAAGTCGTGCGCCAGATGGTAAGCCACACGCCTGTCCATAACAATTGCAGTGTCACTCAGAGCTTTAAATTACAAAGATCTGAGGGGCACTACCACTGCGCCCGTCGCCCTGTGACATAAGTTGACAAGTCCCATGTGCCTGTAATTTTCACCATTTTGAGAGAAAAATGTTTTTTCTTTTAATCCTAACTTAACCTCACACAGCCGAAGCTAATCATGTCTTAGTGATAAACATTCAACATCTTGAAAGAACAACTGTTTCATTATAATCCGGTTTTCGGTGTAATGAAAATTCGAACAAATGTTATTTCGGACAAAAAATTTTCCACTTTGTGATAGGTTACTCAGTGGGATGTATAAATAGGTTGATAAAGATCGGTTAACCAAAAAAAAATCCAGCATATTAATACACATAACTAGTCTGAACTTATGAATCTTTCGAAAAATACATACAAAGCGATTTATTTACCTGAAAACTTACGATAATTATCAAAGTAATATAAAAATTTGTAAAAAATTGTAAATAACTAACAAAAATCATTGGTGATTGAAACGCACTCAATAGCTCATAAAAAAACAAATAGCTATCAAGAACTATACACATAATATAAACATCATATCAGCTAATACAGATGGACAGAATCGATTAATTACAATGTTCTATGAAATTATGATCACTTGTAGTGGATGGAATTTTAGTTTTTTTTTATGACACAAAACGACGGAACTAACTAGTCGTGCGCCTAATTGTAAGCGTCACGCCTGTTCATGATAGTTGCAGTGTCAAACCATGGAATTACTTGCATGAGTGCCAGAGCAATGTCATTCACTCTCAGGGGCACTTCGCAGAACATCCAGACCAGAACAAATTTCGAAAAGTTCATTTCTCAATTTCGTCGGCTTCATGCAATAAGCCGACGATTTGGTTCTACCGCGAATCGAACCCGGAACCTTTAATAATAATCTAATACTAAACGTTGGGTCGCATAAGTCGCCATTGTATATAGGTATATATATGTTGGTTGTGCCGGTAAAGTCGTCAATGTAAAAAGAAAAACTATTTTTTTAAGGAATGATTTAAAAAAAACAATGTATAAAGCAAAAAGCGTCGTTTCCTTGTTTGTTATATTATTTAAGAAAGTCTAGTTCAGTTTTTATTTTATCATAACAAAATATGTATAAAATTGTACGGTACTGTAGTCACAGCCAATTTAGTATACGTTTTTAATTAAACAAAGCTTTGTACGGATGGCCCGGATAAAACGTCATTTGTCACAACTGTAGCCCAGCAATTGGGATTGTTTCCTAATTAATAAACACTGGGGACATAGTATTACTGTTCTGTTTAATAAAAATTTAATAATTTCAGGACATTACGATTCTTATGTATTTTTAAATTGGTATTAACAAAATGAGGCCGTTATTCGATAACAGACCTAATTAATTTATATTCAAGAGCTATCAAGAGCTAATCCTCTCGTCTCGACTTTTTCCATGGGGCATTCACTACACTGTCTCTGTGGCCGAACGTTACCATGCTGGGCTACCACCCAAATGTTTTTTTTTATAACATCAAGTGACGGAACGAACAAGTCGTGCGCCTGATGGTAAGCTACATGCCTGTCCATAACAGTTGCAGTGTCACTAAGCTCTTTAAATCGCAAAGATCTAAGGCGCACTGTCACTGCGCCCGTCGCCTTGAGATATAAATTGACAAGTCCCATGTGTCTGCAATTTCACCTGCACCATTACCCTTCAAAACCGGAACAAAGTAATGCTGACATTACTGCTTGGCGGCAGAAATAGATAAGGTGGCAGTACTTCCCGGGACGAACTCTTTCACAAAGAGCTCTACTGCTACTGGTTCCGGGTTCAATTCCCGGGCTGGGAGAAATATTTGTATTGCTTAGATTTATTCCCCTCGAGAGTTTAGGTGTAGCACCTTCAGTGAAATTAGTGGTGCAACAGTGGTCCTTTACAAAATCAGTTCACGCGCATAAACATTCATTTACTGACAATGCGCCCGGCGACATTTCTTAGCGGATGCGCCCTTATAATGCCACAACCAAGAAATACTGTTTTCTTAAGACAAAATTAGAAATAAACAATACTCAGACTTCAATAAAACTCGATACGTAGAAATAACATAATTGTTGTGAACATGAAATAAAGTCTGACTGACTGAATAAGAATAATTATATTCGAAGGCATTTATTCCCACTTTGTAACGAAATTTTACGTTTTTGATAATAAAATAAACAGAAATTGAAGCACAAAATGTATTATATATTTCAAAATGTATTAATAAACCATTGAGTGAAGTTTCAATAACATATTATTCAGCATAACATTTTTCTGCGAGGCTTTTAATTTCACTGCAACGTCCACGGTTGTCAAATTCAGGGCATGACTGGAAAAATACAATAAAATTAAAACATAACTGTGCTAGTGATGTAGTAATGTAATATTGGTTGTCAAACTACTTTTTTTATAAACCTTAGCACAATAAGTAGTACTGGTAATGTTCGTAATTTGATAGGACAAAACCTTTAATAAAGATTTTCTACAATGCAATTTTTATTCAAGCAATTTCGGTGTAGTATGTGCAGCAAAAGGGTCATTTATTATGCTTTAAATTTTTTTTCTGTCAAACCCAAGTTAGGTGCTCGACATGTATAAACATGTCGAGCACCTAACTTGGGTTTGGCTATAAAATTGAAAAAGAAACTATTTTTTTGGAGCTAAACGTACATTCACCAAAAGTCGAGGCAAGATCTGTCTATCAAGACCAATTTCAAGCCTCTGAAGAAAATTTCTCAGCTCTCGAGACTCGTGAATTGTAACACCCAGTTACAGGATGCAAGAATTTATAAGCTTAACTGCTTTTATATTGGACAAATAACATGTATTATATTTGACTTATCAAATAACATAGGAGTTGCCGATGTCAAGCACCACAGTGTAAAAAACTCTGCAATCTGCGAACATACCATGGATAAACCTAACATTTAATTAACTTTGATAAACCAAGGTTCTTGCAAAAGAAGTCAATTTTCTACTCAAGATGCTGCGAAGGGCCAATTTAATAACACCCTAAGTTCAACAACGACTATGTTTTCTCTGTATCACTAGTTTGAGATTATTTCCCTTGATAAAGAATCCCAAATAGATAAAAAACTATAAACGTTTGTACCTTGTACGTAGTGTAAATTGGAATATTTTCTTTGGTAAATAAAAATATGATTGTTAATTTAATAGTTTTTGTAACTATAGTTCACAATAGGCGGATTTGCTCTCTTGATACCATTATCAGGGTCCATATCCTTTTCACCTTTTTTAGGTTTGAGTTTGAACTCAGAATAGGCTGATTTGCATTAATATTAGACACAACTGGTTGACGACTAATACCATTCCAGTCTGCCATGATCATGGAACCTTTTCACCTTTTGTTTTTCTGAGCCTGAGCCCGGGAGGCTTAAAAGTTCATCTTCTTTGCATATTATATTAGTGGCTGGTTCTGTGTCTTGCACAATTCTGCCAATATTACGTAGGTAGCCTCTACACAATAGGAAAGCGTTTACAATACAAATTTGACCATTACTTCTGAAAGCGAGATTTGAAGCGGGTTTATCTAATACAAACCACTATATGGGACTAGCCACTAACCCAACCGGCTTACTCTCTTGGCCACGACGTCCTCGGCTAACCGATTTTTACACTTTTGACCCACAACAAGCCCGAAATGTTGGTTTGTTTGAAAAAACAAATATACGCGATTTAAATCCAAAAAAATAGTTTCACCATTTTTATTTTTACACCAATAAAATTATTGATAACTAGAACACACAAATATGGAGAAAGAAAGTGAGAATAGTCAATTTTAAAATAATATTCACCATTGCATATTGTATTAGTAGGCATTGATCGAATTTCTTCAGTTCACAGAAATGATCAAACCCATAGTCTTTAACATCAGCGTTGATGCAATTCTTTTTGATATTCTCAACTAGTCCAGGTCGCTTTCCGAAGGCGTCAGCAATAAATGGTTCTATAGCACTCTTTATAAAAGTCCCATCTTCAGTCACATAACCCATTTTATAGCCTATACATTGTTCGAGCTCGCACTAAAAAAAAAACAATTTTTCTCAAAAGTTTGTGGGATTACATCTGTTTGCCAAGTTTTATTGAAATCGGTTAACGAAAAGTGGGTGAAACCCAATAAACCCACATCATCCCCTAATTTGCGCCTGTAAGGCGGAATATTTTCTTCGAATTTGAATGGGATCACTGTTGAGGTCCCTTTTCCAACAAAAAATCATACGTAACATACACACAAAAAATTCAGTGGAATAGAGAATCCTTTTTTTTTCAAGTCGGTTCAACACCAACGGATGTAAATAATTTCCAATAACCCGATGAACTAATTCTTATTTTTTCAGAATCAATTAAAAAAAAAATTACACTTACATTTCCATCGGAAGCTGGTTTTGGTGATTTTCTCATTTCGTCTAAACATTCCTCAATTGGTACACCTTTTAACTGTGATAGTGGCAGCGGCAGCGCTTTACAACAAGCCATGGCAGTCTGAGTAAAAAAAAAATGCTAAATTTTGTTTAGTTAAGTAATATCATTGTCATCCTGTATTTCCTGTATCACCAGAAGCACGACTTGTTGGTCTCATCACTTGGTATTATAATCTAATAATATTATAATAAAATATATCGTTTAGGCACCTGAGCCTAAACGATGCACAATTTGGTTTTAGACCAAGTCTGTCGACTGAGAGTGCTATCTTGTGTCTCAAGCATACTGTCCAGTACTACACTGCTAGAAAGACCCCAGTTTACGCGTGCTTCCTGGACCTCTCCAGAGCCTTTGATCTGGTTTCATATAGTGTATTATGGGATAAACTACTATATAATGACACCACTTTGCCGCGTGAAATAACGGACTTGTTCAGATATTGGTACAATAACCTAAGCAACTATATCAGATGGGGAAGTGCTACTTCGGACTGTTATGGATTGGAATGCGGGGTGAGGCAGGGGGGGCTGAGTTCGCCCAAACTTTTCAATCTATATATGAATAGACTCATCGATGAGCCGAGCCGCACTATGGTCGGATGTCATATTGACGGAATGTGTGTTAATAATATAAGTTACGCTGACGATATGGTGCTGCTCAGTCCATCGATTAGAGCACTTATGTCTATGTTGCAAATTTGTGAGTCATACGCTGTGGCCCATGGACTCAGGTACAATGTTTCGAAGAGCGAGCTGATGGCATTTAAGGCAGGTACTAAGTACAAACTAGTGGAGTAATTTCACAAAAAAATAATTGAATATAAATTAAATAAAAATTTAATTAATACAGGTACTAAGTGTTACAATATTATACCTAATCTAACACTTTGCGGCGCTCCTTTAAAAATAGTTTCGAAATTTATGTACTTGGGTCACTGGGTCACGGATGACCTATCTGACAATAGCGACATCGAGAGGGAGCGTAGGTCGTTGGCTGTTCGTCGTAACATGTTGGCCCGCAGGTTTGCACGCTGTACGAGACAAGTAAAGATTACACTGTTTAAATATTATTGTCAGTCCTTTTACACGTGCAGTCTGTAGGTCAACTATACGCAGAGGACATACAACGGCCTGCGCGTGCAATACAACAACGCGTTCCGGGTGTTGCTGGGGCTGCCACGCTATTGTAGCGCCTCGGGGATGTTTGCGGAGTCGCATACAGACGGGTTTGCAGCCATTATGCGCAAGAGGTGTGCTTCGATGCTAAGCCGCTTGCGCGGCAGCCCCAACCGCATCCTGAGCGCGTTGTCTGCACGCTGGGACTCGCCGATGTTCGCACACTGGATGCGACTTCATAGCATATCATCAGTCGCATAGTTTTATTTTGTTTCTTTTTATTTTGTTTTTTGTATTTTTGTATTGTGTAACTAACCCTTAGAATTAAGCATTTTGTAATTTTAACTAACAATCTATGGACCCAGTTCCGAAATAAATGATTATTATTATTATTATTATTAAAAAATAAATAAAGAAAGAGTTGCGGCTGTAGCTTACCGGGTTTGCAAGTTGAAAACACTCTTCCTTGGTTGCCTGCAAACATTAAATCTTACATCATTTTGTATAGTCAATCAGGGAAAAAGAAGTGAAGAGTACGTAAACAGCTTTAACAATGAACATGGCTAATGCGTAATCGATGTGACTATAATCATGGGCCTATAAGTCAAGAGGACTGTTAATCGCGATACAAGATAACGTAGTTGGATATTTAGTATATAAATAGATATGTCGCTACAAGTACAAGATAGCTATTTTTGTAATCAATTTTCGACGAGTTGTAATTTACCGAATCTACTCAAATGTTTAGAGTTAACGAACAAATCAACTAGATGTCGCTTCTTGTACGGATTTTTATGGATACTACCGATAATTCCTTTATTTTATTTAGGATTAGCGCCATTTACCTATACTAGCAAGCGTTAATTTATAAATCAGTTTGTAACACATAATACCAATCTATTGACACGCATTTTTGTCAAAGTTCAGAAAATAATGCACGCACCATAAGTTTCCGGAATGAATAAGAAAAAAATACCATGAATGGTCAGAAATTAATTTATTGTTTCTCAAAATATTCTCCGTTAGCGTTAATACACTTTTTCATACGAATGGACCAATTTTGAAAACATTTATGCCACTCCTCCGTGACAATCTCTGAAAAATATTTTTCATACTCTCCGACAGCCTCTTCAGGTGATAAAAATCGTTGACCGCGTAACTGGTTCTTAATTTTTGGAAATAAATAAAAGTCACTAGGTGCCAGGTCGGGACTATACGCGGGATGACTCATAAGGTCAACGTTGTTCACCTGCAAAAATTCATTTGTCTATCTGGCCGTGTGAGAAAAATAATATGGCGTTTACGGTTATTTTTACGGAGTTTGTCAATAACTTCCGGCAAACAAATGGTCGTGTACCAATCACTATTCACGGTACAACGATTCTTCAAAGCAACAGTAGCCACGTGTCCAGTTGTATTACAAAAAGAAGCAAGCATCTGTTTAGAGGCACTTTGCACGCGCGCCACTTTGGTTGGTTTCGGCTCATCTCGAAAGACCCATACGCTCGATTGCTATTTTGTTTTGGGATAGTAACTATAAATACATGTTTCGTCACCTGTTGCTATGTCCCACACCAAATTTGACGCCCGTTGAATCTGGTAAGCATGGCATTACACCAAGTGACTCGATCCGTTTTTTGAGTCTCAGTTAAAATGTTGGGGATCCACTAAGAGCACAGCTTTTTCACACCCAAATGTTTGTGTAGTATTGATTGTATTTGACTCATCTCCATGCCTAAAAATGCCCGAATCTCATGGTATGTCACATGCCTGTCTGTTTTGATCATAAGGCGCACAGCCTCGATGTTTTTGTTGTTCACAGAATGGATAATTTTAACTTCATTACAAAGATTTAAGAAAATATGAAGATAAATTTGGTCGATTTTTAATAGCAAACATAAATTTATAGACTTCGAGATCCATAGTAGAAAATTGAACACGTTCTTATGCTTTAAAATCTGCGCGGTAATGCGGAGCGCAGTGTGCCATACCCTACAGTCGCAGGGCGCGGTGCAGCGGGTTAGTCGCCTTTAAGTATTACAGAGAACCTGCTTTATTTTGGTCTTCAACTGAAGCTCCATTCTGCTAATTTTCTTGAAGCCACTGATCGTTGTAATTTCATTGAGACATCACTTAGATTATTTTGCAACTATGACAATATTTTGTTATTCTCCTAAAATCGAGTTAAATGGCAGTTGGTTCTGAATAGAGTGTCAATGGAATGGCAGTGATGGCATTCTCTCATTCAATCACAAACAATCTATATTACCTTACTAGAACCACAATAGAAATGACTAAATTACAATTCAGCCTTCCTATTAAACATATTCAATGTCAGTATACTACGCCGTCGACACGCCATTGAAGAGCAGAATACTAAAAAAAATTGCAATGGCAGTTAAATGGCAGCTCCATGGCTTGTGGCTAGCCGAGACACGAAAGAAACTCAGTCTTTTAAGGCGTTTTATAACGACTCGACTCCATTTTACAGGACTCGGCTCTAAAATTAAAACTGGGGGTTCGAGTTTTTGTTAATAAGACTCAGTCGTTATACTAAAAGACTCAAAATACTTAAACGACTTGAACTACTTGAAAGACTTAAACGAGTCGAGTTGTTTGCAAAGGACTTGTACCTCTTTTTTTTGTCTTATTAAACCCGAAGTTTATAAATAAAAATGACGTAAGTAGTTAATAATCACGTTTATTTACTTATAATAAAAATCGTAAAATAAATACCTTGTGGGTAGAAATAAAATCACGCCACGTATGAGCCGTAGCTCATGACTCGCGACTCTCGATGCCATGAGGCGCCAGTCGTTTTAGTCGTTTTAGTCGTTTTAGTCGTTTTAGTCGTTTTAGTCTTTTTAGTCTTTTTAGTCTTTTTAGTCTTTTTAGTCGTTTTAGTCCTATAAGTCTTTTAAGCTTCCTAGGGTTAAAAGACTTCGACTCGAATTAGTCTTCAGTTTTAGTCTTATGACTCAAGACTTGATGGTTAAAAGACTAGACTAGTCGTGAGGCGTTAAAAATTAGTCGAGGTTATTTTAAAAGGCCTTAAAAGACTGAGTTTCTTTCGTCAGACAAGTCACTACGACTCTTAACTTTTAGCAGAATACTAAAGTTACATAATCCTGCCATTGACACTCGTCGACACTCAATTTAGATTATTTAAAATTAGCATAGTACTTGGGACCCTAAAGCACAGACGAATTTTTCTTTATGAAATGAAAATGGTCTATTTGCAAGCAAACACGGTATTGGTGATGGTAAAAGTGCATAATACTTGTACAAGCGTGTTGCGCCATTTCTGACATGCAAAATTTTATATGATATTATATAATTTTATACGATGTAATGACACTTCGACTTACCAACACCGAAGCTATTCCAAAGGCTACTAACACAATGATACGACACATTCTGTATGACGTTCCACATCAAACAAATACAATCGACAAATTCGCACTAGCTTTTTTATACATAACGACCACATTAGGTCAATTGAGCGTGACTAATTGAGAGAAAATTGTCATATATTCAACGTTTATAATAATGATGGATGATTAAACTTCTTCAATATAAACAGAAAAAACGTGTAATCGTAACATTGACAATAGTACTAAAACTACTGGTGACATGAACAATTATTTGACAATTTTTTTCGGTGAGTTATCATATTTTACCTGAACATTTTCCGTAATAACAATGTAATTGAAAACTTAGTATAATAACGTCAATGTTAGAACATTTCCTCGGAGCGTAAAGCCCGACACTCACTAGTGAGCTGTGAAATCATAGTGTAGCTTGCAGCGAGCTGAGAGCCGACGATAACCAAGTACTTACTCTAGCGAGTGAAGACTGTTTCACGCGTACACATTTAGAACCTCGTGACGTGACAAATATACGTTGCAGTTACAGCACGCTAATGAGTAACCAGCTTAAG